GAGGGAAATGCACAGGATTGTGGTGATGGGAAACCCGCGGGGATTACAATTGAGATGGAAAAAAAAATGTACAAAATGATGTAAAAATAAACTGTTATAAAAAAATTAAAAAAAAAATCTCCCATGGGTGCGGCTGTGTATGATGCACATATGCACCAGGAGAGCAGCCACCGCTTGCACCCTCACATCTGGGCGTCCAGCGGCCAGCCACCACTTCCAGGCAGCTGCCTTGACCACCTGAGGCTGGACGAGGTGTTGCTCAGTCTCCCCGTCCCCGGCACTCCTCTTCAAAACCCAGAGCAGGAGGGTTGGAAGCCACCTGAGGGCTGCCCACAGGCCCCATATAAGCTGAGGGCTGCCCCTCAGCGCATCTAAGGATGAGCTGGTAGACTGATGAGTGACTAAGTCCCCTCTCACCTCCCCTCCATCACACACGCACCCCAGACACACCCTGAGCCCTCTCCACTTAGTTACACACGGCAGACCCGCTTGCTCATTTCCCCTTCTTGCCTGGCACCTGGCATGCTCTCGGGGTCCTAGGGTCAAGTCCCACCCCTCTCCGCAGCCCTGGAGTCCTTGCTGTCCTGACACTGCCACATGGTCCCCGAAACTGTCCTCCTCTCACTGGGCCACATTTGCTCCGTGGGCATAGTGCATGGAGAGTTGTCTCTACTCCAGGCCTTCGCACATGCTGTTCCTTCTGCCCGGAATACTGTTCCCTTTCTCTCTGCCTCTGTTGTTAGGCTTTTCACAGTTCAGTGAGCACACAAGTCACCTGGGGTCTTGTCAAGGCAGGCTCTGGGCGAGGCCTGGCATCCCAGAGTCCACCGGTCTAGTGGGGATGGCATCCCAGAGTCCACCGGTCTAGTGCCGCCTCCTCCTCCAGGCAGCCTGCCTGAGACCCTGGCCCAGCCGGTCTGTGCCGCCAGCGTCCCACCGGCCTCACCCTCCAGGGAGCAGGATTCCGCTACTTTGCCTACGCTGACCTCCACTCCCCGCACAGGGCGCCCGGAAGCATTTGCTGACCACATGCTGAAATTCAGCCGCGGCCTCCCCTGCCCACCTCAGCACAGCCCCGGCCGCGCCTGGGACGCCCTGGAGGACTCCTGATGTCACCACCAGCTGAGGGGGGGCAGTGCTGCCCGATGTCTCACCTTGGCGATCTGGTCAAACTTGCCGAAGAGCTCATTCAGCACCACCACCAGCTCTTTGGGGGAGCAGTCACTGGCCAGTCTCGTGAAGCCCACAATATCAGCGTACAGGATGCTGGGGAGGGGGCGCAGCAGGAGGGTCAGAGCCAGGCTGCAGGGGCGTGGGGACAGCCCTTGCACCCCAGCCACCCTGCTCCCGGAGACTCCGCAGGAGGGGGCCAGAAGACCCCAGCAGCAAGACAAAATTCCAGAGGCTGCTCCGTGAAAGGGCACGGGAGCAAGAGTCAAGAACCTGCGAGGCTCCGAGTGCCCTGTCCCAGCACTCACAGGCTCCAGATCCTCGGTCTCCTGTCTGTACCTGGCTTTCCACCTGAGCACAGCTAAACTCCCTGCCAAGATGAGACTCCGCGTCTCACGCACAGCTCCAGCCCAACACGCACTGCCCCCCACGGCCCCTGGAGGACCTCCATTCATGGGTGAGCTACGTGAGGTCAGGGCGGGGGGTGGGGGGGTGCCTGCTGGGAGCCACAGCTGCAGCTTGCCCGTCTGGGGCTCTGGAGTCTGTGTGTGCGGGGCCAGCCACGCCCGGCGAGCGGCTAAGCTGGGGCTCCAGGCAGAGCCCCAGCGCCATGCCAGCACCCTGGCTCCCCTCTGGGGGGTGCATCCATCCATGCTGTGTGTAGCCCCGGAGCAGACAGAGACAGGAGGGGGGAGTGGGGACACTTGCCAGCACAGAACCCTGGGGGAGCTTCGGCCCTTTTGGGGCGCTGCACCCCTGAGACTCCTCTTTTCCAACAGGCATGCTTTCAGCGCTTTACAATCGTAGGGCCCTAGGGGACCTCCCCGAACACCAAACCGGTCTGATCCTCCCCTCGGCCAGCGGAATACTGCTAGATTACTGCCCCCAGCCTCTGTGGGCTGGGGACTGGCGCCCCCCACGGCCCGGCCCCGCCCACCTGACATTCTGGTGCCGCTTGACGTAGAGGCTGTGGAAGTTGTTGTCAGGCATGTAGTGGCGGTCGTCGTGTTCCTTGAGCCGCTCGATGATGGTCAGCTTCATGCCCATGGAGATGTGGGCCGGCAGCACCGACAGCAGCAGGTTCTCCTGCACACAGGTGGGCGCGCCGATGGGGCACCCAGGACAGGCAGGGCGCCCCCCACCCATGGCCGCGGTGCTCTCCGCCCTCCTGCCTGCTCTGACCGCGGCACTCCCTTTCTCGGCCGGTGGGTCCCCGCCACCCGCCCAGCCAGGCACCCCACCGTGTCCCAGAAGCCTTCTGGGGTGAGGTCGGCGTGGGTGCCCAGCGAGGCGGGGGCCCGGCTGTGGCGCTGGGAGGCAGAGGCCCTACCTGCTGGAGCTTCTGGATGCGCAGCTTCCGCCTGACCTGGAGGCAGTTCATGGTGTGGATGAAGAGTTCCCGGGAGGAGTCGTGCGTGTGGTACTTGTGGAAGGCGCCCGTGAGGTTCCCGCACAGGAAGACAACAGCGATGGGCAGCAGCTGGGGTGGCCGAGGGCAGGCTGAGCCTGGGCCAGGCGCGGCCCTCGCGGGCTGCTATAACTTAGCGCAACACCCCGCCCCGCCCCCGCCCACGCGGGCACTCCTAGGGCGGGGGGCGACGGGCCGGAACTGGCGCTGCCCTCCTGGAGAATGGCTTTGCCTGCAGGCCCAGGGCTCCGGTGCCTCGGCGCCACCAGGCATTTCCGGGAGCTTAAGACTCGGCCCCAGACCAGCAGCGCCAGTCACTTCTGGGGAGGCAGGAGCGCCCCCCCACACCGCGAGCCAGCGTGGGGCTCCAAGGACGGCCACAGGAGACCATGTCCCATGGCTGCCTGGAGGCCTGGCCTCCGCCTCTGAGGGACATGGCAAAAGCCCAGCTTGGTCAAGAGGGAACCGTGTCTCAAAATTACTGTGAATAGGGTTCGCTCACTCAAGGCAAGGCACAAGGTTGGGTGGCCAGGGACACCATCGACCAGGATGGGGCTCTGGGGGAAGCTCACCCACACAGTGCACGGGCCTGGAAGGAGGACCTGAGAGGCGACTGGAGTGGTGGGCAGGACCTCTAGGGCACAGGAGGCCAGCAAAGGAAAGGCCACCACGCAGGGCACATGCCTGGGGGTGGCTTCTGGGGCAGACTCAGAGGGCCTGGCCACAGAGCTGGCCGTCTGCAAGCACGGCAGAGGTGTCCAGGGCCAACTCACCCAACCACAAGTCTTTGCCTCCCACACCCAGAACCCACGCGCCCCTCACCTGCTGCATACTGAATCCCTCCGACAGGTTGACTACCAGGAGGAAGGGGGCGCTGGAGACCACCCCCACAGCGATGGCGCCCCTCATGCTGAAGGGCATCAGTGTGTACACGGTGAAGATGATGAACAGGAAAAAGGGCACCTGGGGGTGGGGTGTCATTAAGGTCAGAGCCTGGCCACAGTGCCCCTGCCCCAGGACACAAAGCTGAGCTGGTCTTGGGGTCCCGAAGCCTCTTGTCTTCCAGGAATAGCCCCAGATCCCCATATCCTGAGCCCTGGGGCACCAGTCCAGGCCACCCAGGGCTGTCCTTAGATGGTGCCCATGCCCACGTGGTAAGGCAACAGGACAAGAAAGGGTCAAACTGTGCTCCTGGACCAGGCAGCACCATTCATCACTTCCTGTGTGTGGATTCACCACATGGGTCGAGGTTGTGCCCTCCCATGAGGGAGCTTCATGGCCCTGGTGAGCTACCCCCACACCCCCTTGCCCCCACCCTCCACTCCCCGCACCCACGCCAGGCCCTCTCCAGGCAGGAGCGAGAAGTCTGGGCAGGGCTGCTCCCCACGCCTGCAGCACTGAGCCCCCCCTGCATTCCCTCAGGACCTGAGCGGCCTGCCCTCACCTGCCCCTGCGGGAACGGCCTCTGGCCTCCAGTCTGCGCCGCCTCCCTGACCCCAACCCAGGAGCGTCAGGGGACCCAGGCAGAAGGTGCTGCCCCTGTCACAGTGATTGGGACCATGACGCAGGCCGGGCCGCTGTGCGGCAGGCTTGTTTAAAAAGGGCCCTCCCGCTGAGAGGGTAAGCTGGTGGGAGGGCAGCCTGAGCCACTGCGGCCATCTCTGCCCACCTCTACCCAGCCGGGATGGCCACCGGCAATGAAACAGAGAAGCACAGAGACAGAAAGCAGGACCTGGCCTTCCTGCTGGAGCCCCAGGGCTGACCCCTCACTTTGGCATGGGAGACAACTCCTGGCATGGGAGACAACTCATGCCTTCTGCTTCTTTGAGTTGGTGATGTATCATTTCCTATCAAGAAGAGGCCACCCAGAAGTACCACCGCCAGCCATCCCAGGGGACACTCACTCCTCCCACCCCTGCCCCTCACTGACGCAGAGAACCCAGAGCACGGACCAGCCTAGGGCTCATCTTAAGTTACAGAACCATGGGAGCAGGAAGGGCCCTTGCCCAGCACAGCAGACACAGGCCCATCCTCTAGTCGGGACCTGACGCGCAGGGGGCAGGAGCACCAGGTGCACAGTTGACTGGCTGCATCCAGCCCCCAGGGACACCGGGGTCCCCTGCCCTGTTACCTGCAGCCACACACAGGTTTCCTTCATCCTTGTGTTGTATACCAGCACGTAGCCTAGTGTCATAAGGCAGGCCCAGGCGAGTAGAACGAAGACCCTGAGCCACCGCCGCAGAAGGCACTCGAAATACACCAGCACGTAGAGGGTCACAAACACGGCAAGGGCCAAGAAAGCCGTCACCAGGACAGCTACATTGTAGAAGGGCTCCTGGGAGGGGCAAACATACACAGAAGAGCATTGCTTTCCCCAGCGGGGCACCACTTCCTCCAGAAAGCCTGCCAGGTTTGCCTGGCCGCCTGCACTCAGCGTCATCACTCAGGCTGTTCTTTTCTCCTGCGCCTCTGGAGCCCAAAGCATCCTTCCCAGTAGAGCCCAGTGATGCTGTCACTCCCACTCTCTCACCATCAGGTGTCCCCAGAGAGGCCCAGGCAGAGCTGCAGGGGTGGGTACAAGGCTACAGCAGCACCGCCTTGGAGAGTCACTTCTCCTGACTCTCAGAGAATGAGTAGAGGTTTATGTGAAAATGGCAAGCTAGGGCATTCCTATGGGAAGAGCCGGAGCAAAGGTGCAGAGGTGTGATCATGGGGGTCCAGGGAAGTTGGATAGCATCTGGCTTCACCTAATTGCCCCTGAACTCCATCAGCACAGAGGCTGACCCAGGGACCAGCACACAGCGGGTACTCTATCGGCTGAATGATGACAGGAATGCCCTGAAGCTTATGCCCACACAGCTATAGGCAGCACTGGCACAGCAGCTACTGGGTGCTGGCTGCTTATACTTATCAGTGCATTAATACCGTGCAGTCGCTAATGTTTTCTTCCAGAACTCTGCTGTCCCAAGCAGTGGCTATTCAAAATTAAATTTACATTAATTACAATACAACTAAGACTTCAGTTCCTCAAGTCATACTAGTCACAGTTCAAATGCTCAGTAGCCACACAGGAAGTGGCTAAAGCAGGGCCTAGGTCAGAGAGGCTAATTAGTGATGTCTGCCTCCAAAATTGTGTTAAGGATTCTGAAGCCATAGCCATGACATGGTAATCTGGGATTGACTTGTGATGTCTGCCATGGCATCAAAGTGGGAACTGTGATGTACAGGCCATCCCTGACCCACGTCTTGGATAGAAGGCAAGTCCATTATGGGAAAAAGTAGGGTAATTTCTTTTTGTTTTTAAAGAGTTATTTATTTATGCATACAAGAACTGGAGTATAGGCTAGAGGTGGAGAGGGTGAGAGGATTGACCAGAGACAGAGTTGGGAGCAAATAGGTAGACACACTGAAAACCACCACTGGGGGAACAGTGGGTGGGCCAAGAGAGGTCTGCCATGCCACGTGGGCCAGCTCCCTGGCTGGAAATCCAACTCATGCTGTAGTGGCTGCAGACAGCCCCGTTGTGCCACCACGGAGGGCCAGTTTCTCTGCCCCAATTAATGTCAAATCTAAAGCCACTCCAAGACTTCACAATTAAAATAAAAAAACTTGTCTATCATCCATCTAAATAATGCTCTATAGCCCTTTACAGGCTTACAGAGGATAAAGACTTGCCCAAGGATTCATAGCACAAAGCCTCGAAGCTGAGATGTGAGCCCCAGAGAAGCCCCACTGCCCCTGGGCTGCCCTCACTCACCTCATAGGTGAAGGCGATGACGATGAGGGCAATGCAGGCCATGGTGGCCACCAGAAGGAGAATGTGCAGCAGCGGCCCGTGCAGGCTGGTGAGGCGGTACTTCTCATACAGCGCATCGTGCTCCGGGACCTCCTCACCCTCATTGAAGAAGTAGCTCTTCTTGGCCAGCATCCTCTGGCCTCGGCACATCCTCCCAACAGTCCACTCAGGAGACCCCATGGCCTGGGAAGCACCTATCAGCCGACACCTTCCCTGTGGGTCTAGGCCTCTGCCCTCTCCAAGCCTGGTAGGAGGGGCTGGGGGGAGGCTGGCTGGGCCGGCAGCTCCATGCACGGCACAGGGCCTGCGTCACTCCAGTTGCCAGGCCTTGCTCACCACGCCACTGGCCTCCTCCACTGCATCCAGATCCAGCTGACCAGACACTCAGGGTCCTCGGCTCTGCAGAAACAGAAAGCAGACCTAGATTTGACCTCACGGGACCAAGTCGGGGAAGAGCTGGCATCAGGAAGAGCCAGGCCAGGCATCACAGCTCCTGGATCGGATTTATCCACCTTAATCTAAAACTGACGTTCAGGGCTTTTTCTTGCTTTGCCCACCCCAAGATCCTAACGTTGCCCCTCTGGGTTTGCGAGAGCTGCCCTGTACGATGGAGTAGGCACTAGTCCTGTGGTTCTATTTACACTGAAGATCCGCGCCCGCAGCCACAGCTCAAGCTCTCACCCATCACACCGCTTCTCAGTGGCTGTGGCTTAGGGTGGCACAAGTGGAGAGTGTTTCCGTCACCCAGAAACTTCCACTAACAGCTGCTTTCACAAGCAGCTCTGATCCAGCTCAGTGCAGGTCTGTGTTGGGAGGGCCTGACTGGGGCTTTTTGGCAAATCTTGTATCTCAGACCCTCAAGCCTGCTTCACCCAGGGCATCTGCTTTGCACCCATGTGATGTTAAGCTTCACAGAAGACCACATCTTTTGAAGGTCCTCACTGACAAGAATTTAAGACGTTTGCAAATGATCCTGAACTTCAGAAAAGGTGCACGGTGGATCCTTCATGACAAAGCGGGGAGTAGACCCCAGGCGTGACAGGCTCGGCCCAGATGGGCTCTCTCTTCCCCCATCACCGTCCACTCATCTGTTCATCCAGGCACCCAAAAAGGTGTATTAATCATCTGTCAGCATCTGGGGCCCACGACCAGGGGCCTGTGCACCAGGTTCTCTCTTTCTGGGGACCCCAAAAGAAGGACAGTTATCAAAAAAATGTACAATCCCGAGCGAAGTGTCTGGGGCCTGGGAGCAGCTGCCATCTTCCCAGCAGCAGCCTGAGTTAAGGGAGCAGCCTAGTGAGAGTCCAGCTGCACCCCGCACACCCCTGCCCCCCGCCCCCAGCATGCTCGTTGCCTTCCTCAGGGATTGGAGCCAGGACAGGGCAGGAGCAGGTGGCCACAGGGAGCTTTGCGTGCAAGGCACCTCTGTCATGAGGGCACAGCAGCTGGCAGCAGAACTTCCAGGTAAAGGTGGTCCACAAGAGCCGCCAGTGGCCAGATGTGCCTAGGATGCCCAGAGACAGGAGAGCAGGTGGCCAGAGTCGCAATGAAGCCTCCTGATGGCCCCTATTTCTCCTGGCAACTGAGTGGGTTGGGCCCCAGTCTGCCAAGTGGCTATCTTCTTGGTCCAGTCATCTGTTCCGGGACATTTTATATACACCATGGAATACTACTCAGCAGTCAAAAAGACACTCATGCCCTTCGCAGCAACATGGATGGAGCTGGAAGGCATGATGCTCAGTGAGTTAAGCCAGAGGAGAAAGAAACATATCAGATGCTTTCACTTATAGGGGGACACGGGGAAACTAAATCAGGGATCAGAAAAAAGTGACAAAGCTAACAGGCAAACTATAAATCGGAGATACTCAGCAGTGGCGGGGGAGGGAAAGAGATCAAAGCAGGAAGGAAGAGCACCAAAGCCCCTGGTGGCGGTTCACCGGTTACGGGGACACCACCTGAGAGGAGAAATCAAATACTGTGCAAAAACAATGATGCAAAATATATACGTAAAAATGGGAAAAAAGAGGGAAAAAATCGCACACCAACCCCACAAAGAGCCCAAGGTGTAAATCTGATTTTCATGTGACATGCTGATGTTTAAATGTTGCAAAAGAATAAAAACTGTTTGCGTGGTACCGCCCACTAGCACACGGCCCTCTAGCTACACAGCCAGTCCAGCTCCACAGCAACATTTCGAGCGCTCTCCATCTATGCCCAGGCCTGGGTTGTACGGTTCACAAAGCAAAGTCCCTGCCCTAGACACCCCAACGCGGGGCCCCCAAACAGTTCTGTAGCAGCAGCAACACTGTGCTGCTGGGCGCCTGCACACACATAACCACTCACCTTGGGAGAGGCCAAGGTGCTGCAGCCATTTTGCAGAGATAGACCTGAGCCCAGAGAGGCTGAGGGCTTGCCTAAGCTCACACAGCTGCAGCCGGTCATGGGAGCCTCAACCCAGGTCGGCCGGTTCCCAGGCCGGGGCTGCTCAGCCCGGCCCGTCTCACTGCACGGAGTTCCAGAGGTGAGCGCGGCTCCCTCTGGAGCGTGGGCCAGCCACCACATGGACACACACTGCCCGCCGGGACTGCCAGGCTAAGAAACCCCAAACACCAAGAGGCCGGGGCAACTCCCCACAGCTGCCTCCGCCCCCAGACCAGAGAGTGGGTGGCCAGGACATACAGGCACAGTGCAAGCACACACCGTGCAGCGGCCGCCCTCTGACCCTGGCAGTTCTGCCTTCCGAGTGCGCTGAACCAGCCCTGAGCCGGACACGAGAGAGGGGGACCCGCTGCACAGTTCCGGGGGCCCATGGCAACCCAGGCCTGGTAAACACGCCTCTTGAAGATCTAATTAGGCCGCTTCCTGAGCAATGGGAGGAGGAGGAGAGTGGACAATGGGCAGCACTGGCGCAGGGCCTCCGCTACCCAAGGGCCTCCTCCCGCTCCTGGAACAAGCTACGCGGTGCACAGCACTGGGCTAGGACAAAAGTCTGCACTCACCACTGCTGGGGAGTGCGGCCAGGAACCCACTCCCAGTGGGTGTCTCCTCTCCCAGAACCACCCCGGACCAGACCTCTGCAGACAGAATTTCAAAGCCACTCTGTCTCATCAGCAGTACTCTTTTAAAAAAAGATTTCTTTATGCATACAGAACTGGGGCACAGGCCAGAGGCTCAGGGACGGTGAGAGGCTTCACCAGAGACAAGAGTGGGGAGCAGAACAGGCAGGTTGTCGAAGTACACTGCTGAGGGGAGACAGAGGTCTCCTGTCTCCTGCTCCCTGAGTGGGGACTGAACTCACGCTGAGGCAGTCGCAGGCAGCTTCATAGTGCTGCGTTCCAACCTGTTACGCCACCAGGGAGGCCCTTATCAGCAATACTTTTGCCAGTCACTGACTCTGGTGGCAACTAGGGGTGGGGTTCTCTCTGAGGCCCTAGATGAAGGAACTCCAGGTCCCTAAGAAATGACCCTGCAGTCTCAGCTCACAGACCCCAGAGATGGGGTATGCATCACCTCTCAGGGCTGGCTTCTCCACCACTGGCCACTACTGGATTATGTCTTGCCTTAGGTCAAGCAAGCCCTGTCTCCCTGTCGTCCCCCACTGCCCTGTCTGAATCCCAAAGACACCAAGAACAGAGAATTGCACTTGGCAGAGCTGAGCTCGCTAGAGGTGGAGGGACGGGAGTCCCAAGGGTGCTTCCATTGTCAGTTCACCATCACTGTGGTAGGGAGCAAGGTGAGCAGCACCATTTTGTAGACAAAGGGCCCCCAAGTGTCCTGCTGGACCGAGTGAACACTGTTCTCTCCTCCACCCAGCTTGAACAGCAGCCCTGTGACGCAAGTCTGGCTAATCAGCCCGGTCGCTTTCGTGCCCCATTGGCTGGCTCAAGGACGGACATGGCTCCAAATCCTCCCAGTGATGATCCTCTTTGGGATTTTTGCCGACAGCTGCTGGCAGTCATCTGAGGAGACAGCACCCCTGAGAATGAAGCCAACACAGAGCTGGAGCAGAACAGAGCCTGAAAACAGCCCCTGTGCTCCTGGATCCAGCGGGGCCTGAAGCTCAAACAACCTCCAAATGTTTTAATTGCAGGGCAAAATCAATGTCTCTTCCAGCCAAAGTCACTTTGAGTTTCTGTTATTTGCAATCAAGAATCCCAAGATATGTGTTTGCAGTATCAAGGGAGCCCTCGTGGCCCCTCGATGGGTCCAGAATCAAGGAGAGGGTGCACAGAGCCCAGAAGTAAGACACAGCGCAAGCCAGCTCAGTCTTCTTTGGAGGGCAGGAGTCACTGTCCACACTCCACAGTCCAGGCCCAGCCAGGTTGCAGACGACCTGAGGCCACAGGGGGCGGGAGGCCCAGGACTGCAGGGAGCTGGGCTGGGGACTCCCCACATCGGCTACAGTGGCCTCCAGAGACGCCCCTGGGGGAAGAGCTAGGCACACATAGGTGGAAATGGACCCCAGAGGAGCCCACCTCCTACCCCTAAGGCTCTATCGTCCCAGGTCCTGAGATTGAGGGGGGCAGAGGACGCCCTAAACAAAATCTTTGAGCACATTTGGGTGCCCAGTGCTGGGGCTCTAAGTCCACCCACCGGCCGGCAGTGGTATGACCACAGCTTCCACTGTCCGGATGGGGGAGCTGAGAAGCACTATTCACTTGCCAAGGTGACCCAGCTAGTGAGAGACTTGGCTTTGAACACAGCCCATCAGGAGGCAACCCTCGTCCTGCGCATCGTCCACAGGGTCCTGATGCCAGAAGATGGTACCATGATAACATGACGGCCCTTTCCCACCCTCTGCACTCCAGGCCCAGGGTAAGGGTGGGGTCCCTGGGCCTTGTTAGGCCTCCCTCTGCCATGCAGGGGTTTGAGCAGGCAGCCATGCTAGCGAGCCTCTTCTCAGCCAGCACGAGCGAGAGGGCCTCTTCCTCTAGGACACCCTCCAAGCTACCCCCCACCGGCCTCCTTCCCTTCCACAACTCAAACAGGACCACGGCCTCCCTGGCAAAGGCTGACTAGTGGTGCAGGTGTCTCAGCCAGAGGAGCTGCTAGAGATAGGAGCCTGGACCCTCAAGTGTGCCTGGGAGATCCTTCCCCAGCAGAACTAGCTGAGCAGGCGCACCTCCCTGTCATCCACACCCCTCAGGAAATTCTAGAACACCCAGCACTCACAGATCACCAAGGCTCCCACTTCCTCACCCAAGCAGTGCTGGCAGGAACCCCAGCTGGGCTTCTTCTGGTCCAGCCCTCGCAAGCCCCAGGGCTGCTCAGGGCCTGGAGCCCAGTGGCCTCAGAAAGGGGAAGTGGGGCCTTGGTGCAAGGGAGGCTGGGCAGGCCTGAAGCGAGGCCCCACTCGTTCCCTCAGAGGGTTGGGTCAAAGGCGCACCTCCCATTGGCTG